TACGATTGGTTGATTTGATTTCAAAGTCGAATCTCACTATCTAGAATATCAATGGAAAATGGTCGTAATAGTAAAATATTGTCAACTATTATTGGCTTACCAAAAATACGATATAGCTATTTAATTATAAGCAACATAAACAAAACAGGATGAACAGACAAATATCAGATCATTTGGGATTTATAGATAACTTTAATATTTGCATTTTAATTAGCATTAAAATTGATTAAATAGATTTTGGTTCATAAAAAAAAAAAATTAGGGGCATTTCTTCAAACATGATGAATTTCAAAACTGCGGAACGATACATACACGGAAAAAAGGACAGGAAAGTTGATCTCATTTAATGCGATACATGGAGACGTTCTTAACCCCGTCATGGAAAAGTTGTATGATTTGGTCATGAAGTGTATGACAATTGGATGAGCCTTTTATTATTAGTTTGTTAATTATATATGTAAATAAGAATCTATTTTAATGCTATATTGCTATATTAATTATAAGAACACAAACAGAATGAGTAAATGTATTATTATTCTGCATATAATTAAATATTTAGAAGTAATATTTTAACATTTTAAAATGTTACGCCTTTAAATTGATTCTTGTTTCAAATTCATTAAAGGATTTTTGATTTTAAATTAATATCAAGTGACTTGAATTTTTTGAATAGAGGAAAATCTACTATGTTGCAGATCGCCCTATTGTATCACAATTTATATGAAAATTAATGAATGATAAATTGAAAAACGGGCGATACGTTTTATTGTTGATGCTCTAGTATTTAGGGATAGATGTAACGGTCCTAAAAAAAAATGCTAGATGAAACGTTTTATTTAGGAATATTGACCAGGAAAATCAGCTGGGACTGGAATGACATTCTTACTTCAATATTCATGAAGTTCTAGTAATTCAACGAATGGTGCTATGGCCTCAAGATAATTAGATAAAGGTTTCAAATCTTGGGGAACAAAATCAACAAATTTTACAGTATCCATTTTCCTATTTTCACATAGATCACCCTGTAAATCTACGTCGTAAATATGTACTATTAATAATAAGTTCACCTTCAGGAAGTTTATGTAAGCTTGGGTTAGTCTAATTAAATGCACCATTTCTGCTGGTAGCCTCGTTATATTATTACAGGTACACAGCACAATACAGTTTATAATTCCTTGCTACATTTTCGTATCTGTTTTCCTCTATTTTTTCAAACGCAGTTCTCTTTTCATATTGGTTGAAATTCTACAATTCTACAATAATAATAGATAATAGATCGTTTCTTACAATTTTAGTCGCTGGTCATCCAAAACACTCTCAATATCAAAAAGATCTGATAGGAGTTTAAACAATTGGTATGGGTTTCCACTTGTTTTTAACAATTAAATTGGTGGAAGCAAACACCAACTTAAAATTAATAAATAGACAATTAATTATCGTTGTTAAAAAAATAAAGCGATATAATAATAATAAATATTTACTAAATAAAATGTTTGCCAACTAAGAAAGAGTATGCCCATTTAACATTAACTCAAAAATCTCTTTTTTATTCACTTGGAATTGAAATAATTATATGATAATAATACCTAAGAAGAAAGAGAAGAATAAAAATAATCAACGAAGTTCAATTTCAAAAATCTTCTAATATTCATTCTTGTATTTATTATTAATAATGTATTTTCAGATTCTAGCCTAAGACGTCTTTTAGAAGTTAGTGTAAAAGTAGATAATAAAATTTATGTTCTTGGAGGTTATAGCTTGCAGACCAGTTTTCTTACTGATTCAATATTTTATTTAGATTTAACTACTGATTTCGATACTGTAAATGTGCCATGGGTTGATTTAACATCTACAAACAGAATTCCCGTAAGGATTGCTTGGTTTTTGGTGTGGTTAGTGGACCATACAAATCAACCATTTTTTTATTCGGTGGAATTATTCCCAATCCAACTTCTGATACATATAATTTCGATAATTTACTTTACACATATGATATAAACACAAAAGTCTAGAGTACTCCAAAAATAACTGGCGTTACGCCCACAAATCGTCGAGAAGGTGGTATTGTGGTGGATGATAAGAGAAAATTGTATATTTTGGTGGATTAGCAGATGAATTTACTGGATCTCCCAACAATCATTTTCGAGCCTTTAATGATATATATACAGTAGGCCTGACTTGGGTCTTAATCACTAAATAATTCACCATCCCCAACTTATGACCGTACTTTAACTTTATTGCCTGATGAAACGCAAATGCTACAGGTGCAATTGGTTATGAAGTTGATATCTATAAAGTGTGAATTTATATATACTGTACATTTGTATTTTTTTTTTGATTTTTTTTTTAAAATAAATTTTTTATCTTGTAGATAAAAATTTTTGATACAAAAAATTCAAGTTGGTCGATTGTGGTGTATATATGTGTGTGTGTGTGTTGTTTAATTAATTATAAAATAAATAAATTAACCCGAATGAAAATTTTAGACAGCCACCAGTTCAGTAACAATTCAATCTCGACTTGACCGTAGAGCTGTACTTGGTAATTAAATTTTTCTTATATTTTGAAAATTTAAAATTTTTTTTTTGATATATGTATATGCATACAAAGCAAATAATGCGAGTATAATTGTTTATAGAGGTATGAGATTTCCTTCACTAGTTACATCATTCCCTGAACTTCTTGTGCTGAACACCGACACAAATCCTTTTCAATACCCAAATTTTCACTTGATAATCGTGCTCCACCTCTAACAACCAATTTAATTGGAAATCAAATGATAATGAGTTTTGGTAATATATTTTATAAAATTTATTTATTCGCCACCATAAAAATTAATTAATTATATTTATATAGGAAATATTACAAATAATAATATGTATCCAAATGCATCTAATTCAGACAATTATATACTTAATATTAATGATTATAGCCGGAAAAAAAATTATTCGGCATCTGAAGCAAACTTAGCATCATCATTGTCATCAATATCACTAATTAAAATCTTAACAATAGTGTTTTCAGTTTAATTGCATTAATAGTAGTGATAATTGCAACGTTTATAATTGCGACGTTATGTTAAAAGAAAGGAAGGAAGAATTACCACATAATGTAATAGAGATTCCAAGTGAACAACAACTTCAACAACACAATAATATTCCAACTAACCTTAATCAAAACCGATCTACCAACAATAGTCCATTAACACCCTCATTTACTAATAATCGTAACACTAATAGTATGTATGCTGGTGGAATGACTTTTTGATAATATGCTATCACCAACTCGTCAACAACAACAATTTATGCAACGCTTACCTGAACAAGAATAACGATTCATATAATAATCAATGAATAATAATTATAACTATAGAATATGATTTTTTGCTTATTTAATTTATTTTGGAAACTATAAGATTAATGTTAAATAAAATAATAATACGCATCGTGAAAATAAACCCTTTTATTACCATTTTTGGAAATAATATTCAAGATTATCACAAAATTTATCCTAATTAAAATTTGATATTAATATATAGTGGAAATTTGAAATGTTACACTGATTTTTTATATTGTGCAACGTAGCTTTACAATACACGGCAAACATTCTGGCAATAAAAAATAAGTGATAAACTGGATTTGAATTGAATCTGAACTTGATCTCCAATTTAGAGAGGTAACAACTATATACTGGCAAAGGTTCAGAAGCAATGAGTTCTGTACAACATTACATGTAATAACAAACTTCTACTATGCTGAAATATATATTAATATATTTATAACTACCATTTTTGCGCGTGATTTGTAAAATAAAAGTAACTAGCAAGTTATATCCAATAAAAAAATATAATCTCATAGAAAAACTTCCAAGTAATATTAAAGTTGAATAAATATATATGATACATTTTTCCAAGAAATATTAATGTTTTGGATTTTGTCGCGTGACGCAAAAATGGTATGTCTTTAGATGATCGGTACTATATTAATATGTCATTTCGTTACACATTGTAAGGGCAATTTTTTCACCATGTTCTTTTTTACTTCTGATAGTGCTGTAATTCTTGGGTTCCATGATGGATTTTATGTAAATTAGTTCATATTTATGTTTTTTATATAGGGGTAGTCAATCATACATGTCATTTAAAAAAACAATCCTTAATGTAGCAAAAGGGAATTAAACCCTAATCTAATCTACACTTTTGGATTGATTACTCCAACTATTATGGAGCGAGAAACGAAAATAAGATTTTCAGGTAAGGCGTTAATATCATGATCACTCCAATTTTCTTTATGACATCAATGTTCACTTTGTCTGATTTTGTTCCAGACTGCCCCAGATCATTTTATAGTTGGTAATTATTTTTTCTTAAATATGAATATTTCATTTAACAGTTGAGAGTTAATAACCAGAAGAAGGAAGAAATGGGGTTTTTTAGTAATAATAATAATAATAACTAATAAAAGAAAAAAGAAAATCCCAAGGATTCAAATGAAAAAAACCGAAAAGAAAAATCCAAATAAAATCTAAAGTGGATGGTGCTTTGAAGAACTCCCGCTATCATACGCTTCGGTGACTACACTACTAACGCCGGGGGTGGCCAGGTCGATTTTTTATTCTTCTCGTGATTTTTTGTTAATTTATAGGATAGATAGATTATTTTATTGAAATCCTTTATATAGTATTTGTTAATAGTAGTATTGTTATTATTTATCCTTTGTAATTCAATTCTTGAATGGAAATGATAATTTTTCTTATCATTTAAAAAGTCTCGACTTTATTTATTAAAAATAGATGAATAATTAATGAATGGTTAACAATCAAATGGGAAACTTGTGAAGAACGTTACATTAGAAGCATAATATTTACCATTTATAAAAGCACAAGTTTACAAAAAACAAACAAACTACAAAAGTGGATTAGTTTATTATAGCAAAACAACTGAATAATATTTCCTATAAATTTTACTAAATATTAAAACATATATGGAAATAATTGACTATCTAAAGTTTACTTTTTATTTGTTGTGATTGTTGATGAGGTATAACAATTACTTTACCAAAAGTTTTTCTAGATGCAATATCGTTCAAACCCACTTTAATATTTTCTAATCCATAGTATATTTTTTTGTAAATTAAAGGTTTTAATTCTTTCTTTTTAAGCAAATCAAAAATTCCATTCCAAACCATTTGAATTGTTTCTTGTTCATCATGTTTTGAATACTCGCCCCAATGCAACCCAGTTAACGAAATATTTTTCAGTAGAACCAAATTCATTGGAATCTTTTCAATGTTACCAGCTGCGAATCCAATCACCACCAATCGTCCATTCCATGCTAATAGGAATATTAATAAAGATAATCATTAAAAAATAAGATTATTTATATTATAATCTAGAGGAATGGAATGATGCTACTTACCAATACATTTTATGGAAGGCTGAATCATTCCAACAGGGTCGTAAACAACATCTACGCCGTGACCATTGGTAATTTTAAGTACATCTTTATACCAATCTTTATTTTCTTTATAATTTATAGCATAATCTGCTCCATATTCCTTTGCTATCTCTAATTTTTCGTTTGACCCACAACAAGCAATGACTTTTGCTCCCAATGCCTAATATAATTAATTATTATTGTTGTTGTTATTATTATTATTATTATTATATATTTCTTTTAATTTTGATTTTCCTTTAGAATTTTTTTTCTACCTTTGCTATTTGTACAGCAGCTATACCGACACCTCCAGCTGCTGCATGAATTAGACACCATTCATCTATTATTATTAATCAAATAGAATAATTAATTAATTAATTAATCAACTTTTCTATTTGATTTATTTCAAAAATTACCTTTTTTTAAATTTCCTCTAACGACTAAACCAGCATAACTTGTAGGATAAGTAACAAATATACCAGCAGCTTCTTCATAACTCATATCATGATCAGGTATTAAATGAACATTTTTACATGAAATAGCAATTCGTTCTGCAAAGCATCCCAAACTACTACCAAAAACTCGATCTCCTGCCTTAAATTGTTTTTTGCATTTTGGATGTGTGTTAATAACAATTCCCGAAAACTAATAATAATAATAATAATATGATGATGATGATGATGTTAATCATTAGAAAAGTAATAATAATAATGGTCATTTGATTAATTGATAAACTAATTGTTTATTGATAATTACTTCACCTCCAGGAATAAATGGAAAAGATGGTTTAGCTTGATGTTTTCCTTGAACCTAAAAAGAAAAAAAGGTAAAGCAATTTTTTAATTTTTATTTTTTAAAATTTTTCTAAAAATTAAAATATTTACTTGTAAAATATCAAAGAATTTAAAGCAATAGCCTTTATTTCAATTAAAACTTTCTACTTACTAATTCTTACAATTCTAGAATTTGAGAAAAGAATTTCTGATGATGAGGGAGAAGAATCTCATGATGAGGAGGATGTGGAGGTATAGAGTTTTGGTTCAACTTCCAACTGTATATTGGTACTTTAAGTTAAAATTTAATGGTAATGTTTCTGTTTCTAAAGGCAAATTCAATTAAAAAAATTAAATCAATAGTAGCAGCAACAACACCCTCATCATCTCAAATAGAAACAAGAACAAGAATAACTGTTTTAGAAGAAGATACTGCTGAAAATGGTGTTGATAGAATTGATCAGGTATAATTTTTGAATAATTTGCAAGATGCATATTGTATTTTAAGCCAGATTTTAATTTTGATCATTTTCTTTATGTAGGTTTGTCAAAACTCCAAAAGAATAAAATTAGTAAGTTGGATTTGTCAAATAACTTCTCATTTCTGATTCTAATCAATCTCCCTCTTTTAATGTAAACAGAATAATGAAGAGATATGTACCTCTGACATCAATTATTCAGCAGATGAGTCAGATGGATGCTAAGCACTGGAACTAATGTTTCAGAAAAATTAAGAACTTACTCCAGAAAAATTCCAGCTAAAGAAGCATTTCTTCAGTAAGTATATATCATGCTAAACAAATTTTAAGCTTGTTACTAATTGCCTGTTATATATCTTATCTTAGACCAGCATATTTTAGGATCATAGATTTAAGTGGAGAAGACATTGGGTTCAAAAAAATATTCACTGAAATTGAATGGTCTGAAATAATACAAGATTTAAAAACAATGTGTCACTTACTGATTTACAAGAGGAGGAAAGCAAAACTCTCTTTGATTTAATGGATTCAATAAAAAAGGACTGGTTTGAATAGATTATTGTTATTTTGATTAATTGTCTCAAGTTACATATCAATAAAAAATTATTTTTCCTAAATAGGTGATTGCACAATCTCCAAAAGACCTCATCACTGAAATTGAAAAAAATTGTATCATTGAAGTAAATGACAGTTCATTGGTTATTGAATTTCTCAGAAAAGTTGATTGTTTTTTTTAGATGCTTGATTCAAAACTAGTGGGTTATTTATTTATTTTTTTAATAATATTTCCATGCATATTTTATTTTTTTGCTAAGGTAATATGTTTTATAAAGTGCTTTCAACCTTGAACGACTTCCAAATTCAGTGAGTGAAGGATATTTCTCTAGTTCATTCACAAATATGTTGACCAAAGGTATCTTGACTTATGCGCATGGTTTATCATATGATGAGTATGTTTCTTAATTTCTAACCTTTGTTATGTGTTATATTTTTGAGTCATTCATCAACTAAATTTTTTGTTATTTTTAGAGGTGAGACACAAAGCTTAGCATCAACATTAGTAAAAAATTTGGATCAGGACCCCACTAGCAGAAGCATCATAGGTCAAGAATGTGACTGTTGTGTTCATAAGGGTGGTTTTGAATATGTAACTGGACTGAGGTCTGGAGGGCTACCTGAGGCAGCCAAATCAAAAAAATGGGGGGATAAGGTTGACCTTGCTGTTACAATGAGAGATGTTTTACTAAAAGAAGGACTTGAAAACAATGGAGTTGATGCAGAGAACTTTAGGAAAATTTTTACTCTGGGAATGCATAGTTATGGTAAGATATAAAAAGATGCAGAGAAGCTGTTTCTAAGGTAGAAAACTAACTTTTTTTGAATATGCTAGGATACAAATACAATGTTTATGGAATTGACTGGAAAGCCAAGAACCTTTGGCAGTTTGGACTACTTCAAGAAACAAATTTACCACAAATTATCAACCAATTTCCAATGATTGAAAAGACCATCACTTTGTTGTTGAGGGTTGAGGTTGGTTTAAATTATACATGATATGGTATAAGGATACCGGCTGCAACTTTTGATGATGGTTGCTACCATCTTTGCATCATATAAAAATGATTGCAACCACTGGTTGCAACCACCTTTACAACCATTTTGTTTCCTTTTTTGGATTGCGACATGGAACACTAATATGATAATTAGCTAATTACCATAAATACGTAATTCATAATTAATGTAATTAATTACCACTTTCACTCTTTAAAAACGTAATTACGTAATTAATTATGGGTGACAAAACTAATTATGGGTGGCAAAATTAATTATGGGTGACAAATTAATTACTATTGTGAAAATTTTCTATGCAAACTGTTGTTGACACTATACATGGGATGGTAATTGCATAATTACCATAAGTATGTAATTATCATAGTTAATTACCATTTTCCTCTTTAAAAACATAATTACGAAATTAATTACTGTATTGCAGGTGATGAAATTAATTATGGGTGATGAAATTAATTATGAATAACAATGAATTAATTATTGGAAATATCATAATACAAGCCACTCCTGTTATAACAACACTCTCTGTATAACAAAAAATGTCAGTATGACAAGAATGTCATTATAACAGGAGTTCATATAGAAGTCATATGAGAATTATTATCATGTGATTTTGTATTTTTATTTTTATTATATATTTTATTTTTATTTCATTCATGTTTTATCAGGAAATTTAAAATTACGCCGGGTCAAAATTGACCAGCATTATACAGAAGTGTTATCAGAATTTTCCATGGTGCTGGTCAATCTTGATCCTGGTGTAAGTTTTATTACTAGGGATGGGAACGGTTCAACCCAAACCGGATCAACCGGCAGTTCAAAACCAAACCAATGCGGTTTGGTTTACACATTTCAAACCGCGGTTAAACCCAGTTCAAACCCTGGTTCAGTGGTTCTGACCAATAAAAATTAACTACATTTATTTTTAATTTTTTTAGAATATGTATATTCCTTAAAAAATATTTTTTTTGCAAGAATGTCAATTGACGAGCATGATAGAAATTCGTTTTATATCACAATTCGACAATCATTTGTGATAAACGTGATAAATTTTATTTATGTTGTATGACATAAGTTTCACAATTAATTACAATACCAATGCACATGATAAAACTTTATATAGTAGTCGTGGGACATTGCAAATCAAGTGTCATTCAATATAAACGTTACACAAAAAATTTATTGTCATCCACTTCAAAAAAAAAAAATCTCCGTTTTTCATGTAACAAGCGACTTTCAACCATAATAAATTTTTTAGAGCCAGACTGGGGCTTTTAACAACAGTTAAAAGAAAAGACTAGCTTAAATATT